GTCAGAGACACAAAAGGGAAAGTTCTGGAGAGTCTTGGAGACCTTGGCCTTTTATTTTCAGTGAGATAAAAGCCTTGGGAGCCCTTCGGCAGAGCAACATGGTCAGATTTATCTTCAAAGAATATTCCTGCTGCTGTATTGAAATCAAATGAAGTGGGAGGGAGGTGGAAGCTTCAGCAACAGAGAATGGTCCTGGTCAAGGTGAGAAAACATTGTTGGGTTCTACACATATTTTGAAGGCAGACTGATGGCATTTGTCTTGGGAGCAGACATGGAATGTGAGAGAGAGAAGGCAAGAGTGAGTCTACAGTTTTGGCCTGAATGAGTGAAGAAATGAGCTGCTAACTGAGATGGGAAGACCATAGAGGATGGGTAGCCCAGCCCATATGAAATGTGCATTGAATACACAAGTAAAGATGCTGAGCAGACCGGCAGATACTCAGAACTTCTCATGAAAATTTTTCAGCCTTGAGAAGAGATGAAATTTCCAGTTAGAAAATAGATGTCTAAGGTCAAAGATCTCAGACACTCCCACACTAAGAGCTCAGAGAGAAGAAGAACCAAAAAAGAAGAAAGAGTGACACAGAGGCCCAAAGGAAGATGGAGGAGAAGACAAAGGAGCTCAGGTCTTTTTGTTCAAATAGGTCAAATGCTGCCATCAGGTCAAGACAGATGAGGACCATGACATGACCAGTAGACCCAGCAATATGAAAGTCACGGGGGACTTTGAACAGGGAGTTTCAGGGGAGCAGTAAAATGAAAACATGATAGGAGTGAAATTGAACTCTGATAAGAAGAGAGAAATTGCAGGAAGAATTCTTTCAAGGAGATTTACTCTGAGGAGAAAGAGGCCAATGAGTTAGTAGCTGGAAAGGGTTAGCAAACTGCAAGGTGGCTGACAGCTTCATGGATTGAAACAAATTGCTCAATGGAAAAACTATATGGCAAGAGTCAAATATTCTAATCTCAGAGGCCACATTCTAAACTACATTCCACAACAAAGGGATGAAGGCCTGCCATTCCCTTGTTGCATTATTCACGGAAACTCCCCACTAGCACAGCCAAGCATAGCCAAAAGCAAACAATGCATACAGTGGCCATTAATCTTCATATAATTTCTTGTAGGCTGAGCCCTCCTATCTAGAACTTTTTCTTATTTTCATTGGAATGCTAACAAGAAAAAAATGAATGTCTCCCTCTTGTCTGTCAAATGTTAGCTTCATGTTGGAGAGGGTCACAGTTCAGGCCCATTCTCCCAGGGAGACAAAATCACAGTCCCTCCAGATTTTAAACATCTGTTCACAACAGTTTCCATGCCTGAATTGACTTCTTTCATCATCTACATTCACACACGCACTCAACAAACACTGAGCACCTCCTATACTCCAGGACATTTTCTAGGAGTCAAGAATGCAGCAGTGAACAAAAGAACAATGCTTCGTTCTCATGGAGTTTGCATTCTGTGGGAAAGAGGGATGTGTTCAGCATGTAAACAACAAACAGAGTATGGGTTATGGGGGATATAATAAATATGAAAAATGGAATAAAAATCAGTGAAGGGTACTTTGGAGGTATCTCTGGCTTGCTTACAGGGACTGAAACCAGATAAAGAAAAGAGGACAGCCATTCCAAGGTCTAGGGAAAACTTGATCTAGAAAAAGAATGAGTCTGCTCTCACTTACTAGGCAATTTCATCTGTTATCAAAGAAGGAGCCCTCCTTTAAGTGTTGAAAGTACTGTGAAAGAAGTCTTAAGTCCAGAGAGGGTAGAAGAGTGAGATTCTATAGAGCAGGCTGAACCAGGCTGAACGCAGATGATTTGGCAAATGAGCTGGGCATGGTGGTGCACACTTATAATCCCAGCACTCAGAAGGCTGAGGGAGGAAGATAACTGCAAGTTCAAGGCCACCCTGGGCTACAAAGAAAGCAGCCTGAACTGCATAGTGAAACCCTATTTGAAAAAGACACACACAAAAAAATCCTGCAGATTAGATTTTACTCTAAACCTAACAGGAGACTATCAGAGATGCATAATTCAGATTCCAGGGCTGGGGATTTAGCTCAGCGGCAAAAGCGCCTGCCTGGCATGCGCAAGGTCGTGTGTTCTGTTCCCGGTACTGGAGAAAAAAAAAAAAAAAAAAATTCAGATTCCACTGGCTGCTAGTGGAGGACAGATTTTAGGGGATGAGGGTGCATTCAGGTGGGTAGCCTAGCAAAAAGAAATGGCTTCCAGAATGGAGGGCAAGACTGTGTTGGTAGATGGAAGGGATGCTGAGGCAGGAAAACTATGCCATGGAAAGAGGGGTAACCTGATGGATTCACAGAATATTTTGGAAGTACAGCTAACAGAACGTGTTGATGCAATGGATAAGAGAATGTGGAGGTCAGTGAGGGAATAGAAGGGGGAAATAAAGGATGACCTCCAAGGTTTCTGCCCAAAGAAACTGGGCAGGTGATGATGCCATGTACTCACAGGGTACAGACTGTTAGTCTTGAAAGGAGCACGCTAGGAAATAAACAGCAGTACAATCTGGATGGGATCAGAGGAAAAAAGAACTATGAGATCTCTCTCCTTTACACATTGTAGTCACGATGTTAATTAAACAGCTAGCTATGTTGCTGGGTGTTACGGTTTATGTCTGGATGTCCTCCCAAAGCCTCATGAAGCCATGGGGTGGCTTCTATAGTTTATGATTGATCCATAGTCCAATACTGGGATTATGGGTGTGAGTGCTGCGCTGGCCTGGGGTAGATAATTTGCATACAATGTAAGAGAGGAGAAGAGGCTGCTTGCTGCCACTCCTCCCTTTTGCTCTTGCTGCTTTTGCTGTCTTCTGCTGCCTTGAACTTTTGCCGTCTGCCATGTGCCACTCTGCCTTGAAGCCAGCCAAGTATGGACTGAAACCTCCATAACCTGTGAGCTAAACAAATCTTTTCTTCCTTAATTTTGGGTGTGGGGTATCTTGTCTCAGCAATGAGAGAAAAGGAACCAAGACACTGGGAAAAGTGAGATATTTATCCTTCAACTCTTCAAGTCCCATGTCTCACTTTATCTCTGATTAAAGTGGTCTCACACTTGTCTGAAATCTTTACACCACTTCTTGTCTAAGCCTTCCATTGGGCAAGTGTATTTGGGTTACCTGCTGTTCTGTGTAGTTTGGTGGGTTTTTTTATTTTAAAGAGAAAAGAACAAAATAAAAAAAATAAAGACATAAAACAATAAAAACGACACAAAATTTCAAAACAAGGTGTTAGGAAATTAACAATGGTTGTTGTATCACATATTGTTATCTTCAAAGTGGTTACTCAGATAACCAGATGCGTGTAAGATTGATCAAACAATTAAACATTAATTGTTCCTTTCAATGAACCCATAGAAATTAGTAGTACAATTATCTTGGCTATCTTGTGCACATATATATATTTTTTTTTCCCTTCCATCTTTCTTTTTCTCTTTTCCCTCATCCTGGTTATTCTTTCCTTTTGAGCAGTTTCTTTCCCTTTCACAATATCTATTGTACCTTTCAGATTTTATTTACACTTTTAGGTGGTTACACGAAGAAGACAACATGATGTTTACACATGCGGATCTGATTTATTTCACTTATGAGTATGGTCTCTTGTTGCATCCATTTACCTAGAAAAGCCTAGAGTTTATCTTTCTTTATAGCTGAGTAAAACACCATTATATAAAAATATCACTTCTTTTTTACCCATTCCTTAGCTGATGGGCATTTGGGTTATTTCCAAGGTTTAGGTATTACAAATTGTGCTGCTATAAACATGGGTGCACATGTATCACTGTGGTATGATGTTTTCAGTTCTTCTGGAAAAAATACCCAAAAGGGGAATGGCTGGGTTGAATGGGACCTCTAATCCTAGTTTCCTGAGGAATCTCCAGACTGATTTCCATAGTGGTTGCACCAATCTATACTCCCACCAGCAGTGGAGAAGCGTTCCTTTCTCCCCACAGCCCCTCCAGCACTTGTTATGGGTCAATTTCTTGATGAAAGCCATTTTTTTCTGGGATGAGATGGAATCTCAGTGTTGTTTTAATTGGCATTTCTCAAATGACAAATGATGTTGCACATTTTTTCATGTATTTGTCATTTGTATTTCTTTATCTGAGAAGTGTGTATTCATCTCAGATGCCAATTTTTGGATTGGGTCTTTGAATTTTGGGGGCCTGATTTTTTTTAATTCTTTATATGCTCTAGATAAAAGTCCTTTGTCCGAGGGATGGACCTTTTTTATTTTGAATATGAGGTCTAAAATCAAAAGCCAAAAGTCCTACTCCTATTTTTGCCCCTAGCAAGCTGGACTGTCTGTGGCCTTCACTTATACTCAAAAGGTGACCAGGTCCTCACCCATAGAACGAGAGGCCCAGAAGAGTATATCCTACTCTTAAACTATAGCACTTGATGGATTTATTTCATAATTAATTCATGGGCGTCAAGGACTACGACCTTCTTTAAGGACCTACCACAAGGAAGGCACAGCTGATAAGCAGTAGGTTCTGGATAAGTCATATTGAGGAGCCTGGGAGAGTAGCTCTGCTTCCAAGCATGCCCAAGGTCCTGAGTTCATCCCCAGGAACCACTACTGTAAAATGCTTTGCTGAGTATTTATTTTCTTGTTCTCCTCCGTACACCCTGACTTGATTACTACACTGGTGCATTTAAAATACAAAGCACTGCCGTCCTGCTGTTGTCTCTGCTTCCAGAAGTCGGTATCTCAGGACATCATCAAATCCCTCTCCAGCCCCTTGACCTCATTCCTGAGTAACCAGGAAACCTTAGACTCAAAAGCGCAAAGGCTTCCTGAAATAGTTACTTTAAAAGTTTTGAGGTACCGAGTCTGTCCAGCATTTCGCGTGGGCGCCCGCGGTTGAGAAAAGCCTTCATCCCTGTACAGTCACTCAGGGGACCCCAGCGCCCCTAGGCTCCCCGCACCCTCCCACTCGGAGTCCAGGCCCCTGGCACAGGTGTCGGGGTCCGGTACCTGGAGGGTAATACCGCAGCAGGAGGCTCTTGAGCTTCATTTTCTGCTTCTTGGGTCTCAGGCAGCTGGGTGTCGTAGCCATAGAAACCGCCTAACAGCAGCGGGTCGCCTCTGCGCCTGCGCAGTCTACTTCCCAGCGAGCGCAGCCGGCGGTGTGAACCCCGGTGGGGGACGGGAGGGGCGGAGCGGGTCACCGCGTCTCCCTGGGTAAGTCTCCTGGAAGTTCTTCAAGTTTTCCTAAATCGACTCACTTATTTTACTTCACCTTTTAAAGTGTAATTTAAGAGAAAAATCGGGTCGCTATTGTAAATGAAAACTTCACACAGTTTTCAAAGAGCAAGTTCAAATAAATGCAATTTTTTTAAAGGCTTTTGAATTACAAGCTTTGACAAAGACTGTGAACCAAGACCCTACCTTTTTTAAAATATATATATATATATATATATATATATATATATATATATATATATATATATTTTTTAAAGAGGGAAAGGAAAAAATAGCAACTATTTGAGATTTGCAAGGCAGGCAAGCGACCAACTGAGCCTTTCTACTAGATATGCTCCCAAGCTTGGAAGATCGTTCGAACAGGAACGCCTTTGTGACTAAGTGACACAGTTAAACCTAACAGAAATGGGCCGCACATAAAAACTGTCTTGTCTCTCACAAGCCGGAGCAAACCAACCCGGGGAAATTGTACAAAATAACTTTCAAAGTCAAGGAACAAACGACTGAAGATACTGAACAGATAAACCAACTAAATGCACTGGGTGATCTTGTGTACCGGACCGGAAACAATTACTTATAAAGACACCATTAGATAGTGAATGAAATCTGAATAGGGATTGTGCCTTGGCTCAAAGCATTGTAACTGTTATTTGTTTTTGATTGCTGTACTGTGTGGTTATGTAAAAGAATGCCTTTTATATTAGGAAAGTCACATTGATTTATTTTGAAATAAAAGGAGCATGATGGCTAATCAGTTGTCATATTTTGATAGCTGGATCAATAAAAAAATAAAGCTAATGAACACAAGGTTGAATCTAGGTGAGAGATTCTTTTTGAGGAGTTGTGCGTGTGATTCTTGCAACTTCTTCTTTAAGTTTGAGATTCTTAGAAAATAAAAAGTAGCCTGTTCCCTGCAGGCCAAGCCAGGCTTCAGGATATCCCAGGATGTGGGTGGAATTGCAGATCTGTTTGGATCTACTCTTATTTTGTTAAGAGTGCCTCCCTGCTTCACCACTAATCTCATCTCCATCTTCTGCTCTCTCTGGAACCAAAGGCCCTCATCACTGTTCCTTAACCTTCACACCCCTGTGCTTCTGCAGGCTGCTGTGCTACCTAGCTGGCTCTTTGCTTCCAGTGGCAGACAAAGGATTTCCCCAACTTCCTGACAAAACATATAGGAGTTGTCCTTTTGCTGGTTGAAACAAATCCCAGCTCTACCCTTGACAGTTTCTCTCATGCTTCAAGTTTGTGCCAAGTTTCCGTATAACTGGTTACAAAACTTCCCAAAGGGTCTACACCTTCGACCATATGTGCATCTCTGCCATCTCTGGAGCAGAGTCTCTTGAGAGTGAGGTCCAGTCTTTGCAGGGCCAAAGCCCACTAAAGGTCAGTGGGCCCAGCATTGATCTTCACTTGACAGTAGTTTATCAGAGAAGTCTGGACACACTGACCTCCACTCACAGTTTCCAGAATCTTAGCAGTTTCTTCAAAGGATCAAGAGCCTCTTATGAGAAGAAATCTCCTACAATCCTACCTTGGTAATCCAGAATCCTTGTCAAGTTCCGAGTTTAAGGTCACCTTTCCCCTTTCCTGGAAAAAACTAAAATTGTATACAAATGAAATAACAATATAAAGAGGAACAAGTGAAATTCTTGAGCAGAAATTTTTCCTGACATTGGCATGAATTGCAGTTGCTTCTGAGTTTAGTTGCCTGGACATTTACTCATAGGCAGAAGCTGCTCCGTGATTCCCCAAGCTGAGTAAGGAATTGTTCCACTCTAAATCCCCTGCTGCCAAGAGCCATTCAATACAAGCAATGTACAAAAGTCCTCAAATCAAAAGCATAACAAGCAGGTGAGGGGTGCTCATCCCAGGGTACAGCTTCCTCACAGGGCTACGTTAGAGACCTTCCTGAAAGTTTTATTACATTTCTAGTGAAGGAGTGACACCCTCATTAGATTAACAGTTGATTTACGTATACAAATGCAATACTTGACTCCAGGTTTCTATTCTGCAATAGGCTGAAAGTTTGTGTCCCCTTCAAACTTCCTCTGTTGAAATGCTAACTCCCAATATGGTGGCGTATGGAGGTGTGGCCTTTTAAAGGCAATTATAAGAATGAAATTCCTACAAAAGGGACACCAGAGAGCTCTATCCCCCTTTCTGTCACATGAGGACATGATAAGATGTTGGCAGTCTGCAACCCAGAAGAGGTCCTCACCAGAAGTGGCCGTGGTGGCACCCTGATCTCAGACTTCCGTGTCCAGGACCATGAGAAATAAATGTCTGTTGCTTCTGAACCACCAAGTTCATGGGACTCTCTTACAGCAGCTTGAACTGAAACATCCCCATGGGGACCTGCGTTAAACAATCAGACACTAGATAACTAGCAGCATTGCTTTCACTCCCCAAAACCAGTACAGTTAGTGGAGTACACTCACTCCAGACATCATTGTCAATGTGTGGTACCCAAAACAGCAAACAGTGGGGAGCCTGGGAGCTTCTGAGAAGTGTACATGCGCCAAAGCCCACTAAAGGTCAGCGGGCACAGCATTGATCTTCACTTGAGAGTAGTTTATCAGAGAAGTCTGGACACACTGACCTCCACTCACAGTTTCCAGAATCCTAGCAGTTTCTTCAAAGGATCTGGAGACTTTTATGAGAAGAAAGCTCCTACAATCCTACCTTGGTAATCCAGAATCCTTGTCAAGTTCCAAGTTTAATCCTTGTCAAGTTCCACCTTGTCCTGGTGCATTGAGAGAAGCCAATAAACAGGTTGAGAGCAGTTGTTATGGTCTGAATTGAAAATGCCCCCGCTACCATGCCAAAAGCTCGTGTGTTCAAAGATGGAGCTTTTCTGAAGGTGAGTAGGTCATGGGGGCATTAAACCCATCTGCGGATTAATCCAATAATGAGTTCACAGCTGAATGTGCTAATCAGAGGCAGGGCTGGTTGGAGGAGGTTGGTCACTAGGAGTGTGTCTTAGTTACTTCTCTCACTGCTGAGACAAAATACCTGGCACCCAAAGTTAAAGGAGGAAAGATTTATTTAGCTCACAGTTTGTAGAGGTTTGAATCCATAATCGGCTGGCTCCAAGGCAGGGTGGCTTGACAGAGGGGCATCACAGAAGAGAACCAGTTCATGGCAAACAGAAAAAAACAAGCAGAAACAGCAAAAGCAAGCAAGGGGGAAGACCAGCCTTTTCTGTCCCTTATATTATATCCCGGCTACTGGGATTAGGGTGGTGTATCACACACTCTAGATTCAGTCACGTCTGAAAAAGCTCCACTATGATTGCATGAGGCTTTGGGAGGACATCTAGACCCTGCCATAACAAGGTGTGACCTGGAAGGATGTATGTTTGCTCCAGGCCCCTTCCTCTCAGCCTACTTCGCTCTGTTTGCTTCCAGCTGCCATGAAGTGAGCAGCCTTCCTTCACCATTCCCTTCCACCATGATGTTCCTGCCTCAGAGCCAGCTGACCATGGACCAGTGCCTCTGAAACCGTGAGCCCAAATAAACGAACTTCTCCTATAAGTTGTGGATGTCAGGTATTTTATCCCACTGATGGAAAAGATGTCAATGCAAAAAAAGTCCCAAAGAGGGTGAGTTGAGAGGAGAGTAACCTCTAAAAGTGAGAGAAGCAGAGGAGGAAGAGAAGGAAGAAAGAGAAAAAGGAGTCAACCTAGGGATCCAACTCAACATTAAAGCTGAGCACAGCGGGGTAAGTGTGGGGGTTACATCTGCCACCTAGCTCGGTGGATACCACTGGCCCCATTCCTCCTGGAGAAAGTCATGACCTCCAGGAGAGCCACTAATGTTCAGAGCCCTCTATGAAAGAAGTAGACAAAAAAGAGAGGCTCAGTTCCCTCCTGGGGAAAAAGAACGAGGTGATGTGGCTGTTTCAAGTGAATCAGAGGAGGCCAGCTGTACACAGGGCTTTGAGGCAGCCTCACTGCAGCAGGCCATGAGCAGAGGGACTGCATTGTGCAGGGCACACGGTGACACATCACAACAAACTTGCCTTCTAATTATGTTACTAATGTTATTAGAGTTGACATAAATATCAAAACCAGCTTATATTCCTTCACACATACAGTGAATACTTGTCCTAATAGTTTTATCTCCTGAAAGAAATGGCTGGGAGGATTCAGGAGAGAGGAGGGGGATCTATAAGTTAATAGGCTAGAGATATCCCAGAGAAGAATGAAGACAAAATGGTGTAGAAGAATCAGGAAGATGAAAGAGAGGACCTGGGGTGGGCATAACTCTCTCTTCCACAACTGGCACACAATAGATCATTGATTAATGAGTGGTGTGTGAGAACTTGGAAGATCCATTTGAACCAGGAAGTAACTGGCTACATACGCAACTAGAAGACAGAGCTAAGAGCCGGGTGGAAGGACACAAGTACTAGCTCAATATAAATAATCTTGCACCAGTTCATACAGTGATGGATTAGACTGTGTATAGTTTGGACCTGAAATGTCCCCCGAAGGCCCATGTCTCCAAAGCGTAACTGCAGCTTGGTGTTATTAGGTGGTAGAGCCATTAAGAGGTGGGTCATGCTGGGAGGGCTCACTGAGGTCCCTGACAGACAGCTTTCAAAGGAGATACTAGGAATCTTGCCCCTTCTCTTATTCTTTTGCTGTTTGGACATGCAGTGAGTAGATTCGCTCCATCACACATTCCGTGTTGTGATGTGCTACCTCAACATAGGTCCGAAGCAATGGGCCAACTGAGCCCAGGCTGAAACCCTCAAAACTGTGACCCAAAGCAAACCTTTCCTTCTTAAATTGATTTGTCTCAGGTATTTGTTACAGTGACAGGAAGCTAACACAGGCTATC